TCATGGCCAAGGTTGAGTGTGCTTGACTTAGTTAGGGGGGGGAAATAAGTGACAAGAATAACGTGACCCAGGAAGAGTTGTGTCACGCGTTTCTGCTCCAGAGCACTTCTCGGTAGTATAAAGGATTCACAGCTTCGGGTATCATAACAACTCCCGCCTGCGTTTTGAAACATATCATTTTCGTAGGCCAGTGCTCCCCTGACCTCATGTGAAGTGTTTTCGAGTTTGCCGTGTGGATACGTCTTTTGCTCTTTTTGTGATCGAGCTCTGGGCAACGTAATTCTGTCGCTCAGGCGAAATTATTCCACGATTCATCGCATCATTCGGATCAGTAGTTGCCACACTTTCATATAGCATTCCACACGTTGCCTCGTCCATCTACCCGCGATGTAAATCTACTCTATTCACTTGCCCGTGTTTCCGCTTTGCTGCCACCTAGACAATTTTCGCACAGTCACTCGCCCCGATTGTTTGCTCAATTCGCTCCTCGTTGAGGACAAATTTATGGCATACCGTCTCCATGTCGCTTCCATTATTAGGAACAGTAGACCCGAACCGGTCAATCACCAACGGCAACATTTGAATCCGTAAGGGGAAGTGGATGTTGACAAACTGAGGGAGCTATCAGTTTCACTGTGCAAAGCGCGCATAACAGTAAACGCAATCTATCACCCGTGAATCCATTTAGGTAACAGGTAGTTCATCCCTTCCAATAAGCAGTTAGCTTCAGGATCCAAGTGTGATTCAAAAGGCCCCTGACGATATATAAATGGAAAAAAGCTGCTTTGTATTTACAGAATGTCAGACATTTTCTCCTCGGACGTCATTAAAGCCTTTCCCCAACAAGGGATACGCATTGCCTTCGATTTATGTCTGCATGTAACTCGGGATAGAATTGCTTTATCTCTCGTAGACACGTGTTCATAGTGTATACACTGGCACCCTCGCTATCCAAAGGACGTATGAACTGCGGTTATGGCGTCCAGCATTCAGTGGACTGTGGACTCCGAGCTCTGCCTAGTGGTCTTACTAATCAGGCTATTCCTCCATTGGCTCCGAGTGTGGCACCTAAAAACAGCCGATACTACGGCTTTGGCAACTGGATAGTGTCGTACCCACTGACCGCATACTGAAGTACAATCTTCGGAAACTGCATGCGCACTGCAATTCACAACACTGACTGGTTATACTTCCGTCGTGATTCTCCTTGGCTTTGATTTCAAGGCAGCTGAGAGAAGTTTTCAACAATCCGCTGTTACCGTCATTCTTAACCACCCGAATAACGGAGAATGCCATGTACTGAACAAAAAACCGACATTTCCCGAGTTACTCTTAGAACAGCATCCTCTGCAATCAGAGGGACGTCTGGAAGATTGATCTCATCTTGAACTGCAGCTTGCTTAATTTCGGAAATTTCTCATTGATTATTTTCATGTTTGACCCTAGTTACTGCTCACTCGACGAACAATAGTGATTTCAAAGTTCCAGATTCCGGCCGGAATCCGGTCATATTGCGGTCGCGCGGAGCGCGTGGTTGACTGCTTCGCTGGTTTTTGTCAGGCCGCACTCTAAAAATCTCGGTACCGTCCGTTTTAGTCAGATACTTGTATGGAACGCTGTCAAAATATGAGTTTCCAATGTTTGAAAAGGGGTTTTAAATCACAAAGAAACGAAGCAGCAGGTTTTGGGAAGCATGGCTCGAACGGAAAAGAAAAGATATAGACAACCTTAGGTTCTTCGGACAATCAGAGCTTCTCTTTTTCAAAATCCATTGTTCACATGGTGTTTCATCCACTCTTTGATCAGTTCATCTCGTTTCCAACATCGCGCTTTTCTGATGTCAAGTAATCCACGTTGTTATACTCTAATAAAATTCATTGTCTCTGGCAATCACCGACTACTCATAACATGTACCATTGAGAAGATTGATGAGGCGCTCATTGTGACCAGTGCATGATAGATACACTTCCAGCCATTTCTGGAATGTTTTTTTATGCTGCCACCGTCAAAAAACCATAGTTACACTGACAATGAAGCGTAGAGCACACAGTGTCAGCAGTAACGTGGCCGTCCTATCCACCGTGGCCTGTCACCCTATCTGAATTGTTTTGCCATACCCACAGAAGAGAAGTGGGTCAAATGTTACAGATGGGTTTTCGCTCACCAAACCTATGAAACGGTGATGAGTGAATTGGTCTCAAACACTATCTAATAGATAAAATGCTTTTCGTCTTGTGCTCCGCTGGCTTGTTTCAGATTAAATGGTCTTTTTGTCGCTATCTGAATCTTGCGAGAAAATGGATAATCTTTAGACCAATTAATATCAAATGGCTGTGAATCACATAGTTCAGCATTACTTAATTAAATCCGTTGTGCGAGTGCAGGTGGCTTATTTACCTTTGGGTTTCCTCGACAGACGGCGCTCTTTCGGCTAGTTCGTCCCATTTCTTTTTGGAATAGCAACAAGTTTTTTCCCGAGATCCTTTTCCGAAGTGCTTTTTCCTCATTAGTGGATCAACTAAATGTTGTCTTCTGAAAACGGTACCTACTCAATCGGTTCCCATTGTTTTCCAGCTGATTGACGTGTTTATTCTAGAAAGTCGCCCTGTTTATATACTCCAATCAGCACCCATCTTTTTATCTGTAATATTGCTTATGGCGAGATATCACAGTATCTTGAGAAACCGTCGAGCCAGCTGAACCCTTCACACCACTCTTTCGACTCAATGACGACACATTCATTCAAGTATGAACCTAATTTTCCTTTTGCACCAGTTTGTTTTTCAAATGATCGGTTTATTCAACGCTAGTGACTGAAGAACCCACGAACATGTTACCAAACCTAGGCAACCGATACACTTTCTACCAACTGCGGCAATATAGCGAATCCGTGCATTGTTGACGAGTGACACCTTAACTTCCGTCCTCAACGAACCTATGTGTTACAGACACCAGTCGAAGAGTAAATTTCTAACCAGTTGACAAAAAATAGACAACTCCGCGACTTCTTTTGGGTGCGTGTACATTACAGGCCCTGCGGTGGTGGATCTCATGTACTAACTAATGTGAGGCTTACGACTGACAGTCACCCAAGTGTTGTTTTCACAGTCTAATACGCGTCGCAAGAGCAAAGCAATGGAATTTCTCTCCGCTCACTTCAGTAAAACAGCAACATCATTGGTCTGAAAACTAAACAACCGCCCCATGCTCGTCCAGCTGAGCTTACCTTCGTTGTCTATGCTGACTGAATCTATTAAGCCAGTAGCAAACCAGCCATCCCGGGCTTTCCCAGTTGATTTCATTCCTCGTGTCCTCTGCGCATACCTACTCTCCCACTCAGTTTGCTTGGTGGATGGGATGTGACAACTGTGGACGATGGACATGGCTAGATGAATCGGGTTGAAAGCATCTGCCTCCTACGAATGCATTTGTCCATGATGAAAGCGAAATGAGCGACCAAACTCTTGACCTGTTTATTTTGTAATCTGATAGCCAGTCAGCCACTTTTTGTTTGATCTCCGACGGAACAGTTATCATATGTGGATTTTTTCCCCCTAAATATTGTAATCCTGTGATAAGCTGTGATCAGTATCTATCCACTAATTGGAACACATTGCCATCATGGACTTTCAGAAAAAGAATAGAATTTTCTGATCCTGAGGATAACCAAGGTTTCATGTGTTTCCACTGTGGTCCGTTATCTATATTGTTTCGTCTCAACTAAAGAAAAGTAGTACCACTCTGCGGCGTAGGATTCAGGTTATCTCCCGTATCTCTCTTCTCTTCCCGAACAGCGCTGGAAACAAGGGAAGCGTGAGGCTGAAACGGACCATCTACAGGGCGCCAGATTTTTCTTTGCCATCAACAGCGAGGAGCCGGTGACACCTGCTGACTACAGGTATTTCTTTTGACTCACCTACATTTGTGGGTAGGTTAGTTCGCCAGATCCCTCCCACTGCGGGATCGAGAAGGACCAAGTGGTTAGAGCACGAGTTTGCTGACCGAAAGGTCCGTGGTTCGAACCCAACCTCTGCCTCTTGACTTCCATTGTCTAGGCTTGGGCAGTCTAGTAGTATCTCAGCCTTCACTCCACCTTGATGGTTTCGTTCACGGGTGTTTCCTTGGGCCGGTTGTACGGACCAGCTGAAATTATCTTCGGGCATTCCCGACTTTCTGGGCCTTAGCTTTCGGTGTCCACCAAACTTCACGGTCGGCGCGCACGCTCACTTTCACTTTACGTCCTATAATTCGTCGAGCCAGATCGTGTTCGGGACCGGCGACGTCATTTCTCCGAGATTCAGCCAGTGCCATTGTTCGGTCTGTTATGGAATGCTTGGGTGGGCCTGGTGGCGTCGTGCCACAGGCAAAAATCTCAATACTAAGTAGAGATGTGGTGATCTTGTTCCAGCATGAATTCATGTCTGATGGTGGAGCACTTGGAAGGGACTCCAGAAGACGACTGTGGTAAATTCGTCTAACTTCCAGATCTGCAAGTTTCCCATTTGCTAAGCGATTTATTCGCACTCAACGCGGCTCTGAAAAACAAAGAGAGAAGCGATACCGGACGGGTGTGTGGTCGGAAAACCCATATGTTCCGAAACGTGACAGTCCGTTATTGATCTGCACTATCGGTAACCGGTGGCGATGCGATCAACTTTATTTCGTAGCTGGGACACTGTTGGAGGATAGGATGTTTCCAGAAGACCGGTTGTAAGTATTGTATTACCGAGTCCAACCTGTGTAAAACGCCCATTCGAACACACTTTAAGCCTGCCCACCTGTGCGTTCAGACTTCTGGAAACCACAACGATCTCTTAGCTTCTGACTCGCCGCAACAGCCCTCATAAAACTTGATGGCGTTAGAGCCACAGTCAGCTGGGGCTTAAGCAGACACAACTGACAAGGATCAGCTTCCCGCTTGCGAGACTTCTTCGCAATCCACTTAGGATCATTAGAAAAAACCGGGGTGGGGATGGGGGTTGAAACCCCAACCGACCAAAGGTCACATCATCCCTCTTACACAACTATCGTTACATTAGCTCATCCACGCGGGCGGACAGAAGGTTCAAACGACGTTCAAGAGGAACCATCAAATGAACCGAACCAGAAGAACTAGACCCTAGATTGGACCCAAACACATGTAGGTTTCCCCACCGACCCAACACTTGTTCAACCACTTTAACACACTAAAATCCCTCGGGCGACACCCAGCAGAGATTTAGCTTGGCTTAGCTTATTGGTTCTCCTTCCGCCTTAAATCTCGACCAACCTCGGAACCTACGCATTTGGCCTGACGAAGCTTTTGTGTCAAAAGCGAAACGTTGCCCAGCAATAAGTCTACTAAATGTCACCAAACTTTTTCAAAAGTGAATACACAGAATTTAACGGAGAGGTCTCGCTAGTAGAAACACTTTTTTCCCAGACGGATGTACCAGTTATTGAGTAAAATCCCCCCTTTCCCTCAGCTCTTCAGTAGCCTTGACCTATGTCCTCACGAGATTTTTTGTAAACTATGAACTGTACTCAAACCTCATTGAATCCCCTTTCAGCAATGCTTCGCCACTCACATGCAGTTTTTTACCCATTTCCTTATAGCCTTGAAATTATAGATTCAGCAGAAAAATTGGCAGCTGACTTGGAACGGGGCGTTCGAGTTTTTGCTGAGGCATTAGTCGAATTTCATCGACGAATGACAACCTGTAAGCCAGGGTTCTTTTGTTTGTTATCAACCGATATATGTACAGTATTGGATAACTTGTGTCTGTCAGAAGCACCTACTGCATTATTCATATTTTAGTACGATTGTTTTGAGCCATTTTCCAAGGGAGGAAGTGTTGTTAACTGAGTGCGAGACCAGTTCAAATTCTGAATGCTCTCCCTGAAGTGTAGGAAAAATACACATAGTATCATTGATATCCTAGTGTTGACATGACATTCTGAGGTAGTCCAGGTCGGTCATTGGTCCCTTCCATAAATAGTGAAATCACGAACTGCACAATGTTTCTTAGTATGTAAACCGAACAGGTTAACTCCCAACGTCTTCACTCCCTCCCACTATTTGATTCACCAGTGCTGTGAATTGTTTCCACGACTGATGAGCCGAACAAACGCTACCCTCTATCAAATCACACATTTTCTTACCTCTCGTTACCATTGATGGAATTTCTCATTTGAATTGAACTAATACGTGGAATCGACGCTGCGCTGTCTGCAGAAGCCTATTTTTTACTCTTATTTTGATAGCCAATATTCATAGCACGTTCTTCGGTCAGTTCCATAACCGTTCTGACAAGTAATCTGAGGTGCTCTTCGCTCGTACAACCCCATGTTGAACAAACAGTTCCTGTTCCGCGTTTCAACAGTTACTGTGTCCGTATTCTGTGAAATTGGGTAGCAGGTATCCGTTACTCAAACTTCGCTTTAGCCACACGCAAACATCCTAGATTGCTCAGAACAAGACCGGAATTCGGACATTTGGGATATCTGATTATTTGGATGCCTCAGGGCTGGGAACGCCCTAGATTCTATTGTGGTCCACCAGGCCACCTAAGATTAAGTCGGACGATGCATATTTATCATGCCAAAAAATGAAGACATAAATGGAGGCTAAAGGAGCTTACGGTAGACCTGTAGAAGGAGAGTTATGGACGACTTACATGTAAACAAGGCAGTTGTGCACTTAAAAAGCGTAGGTGTTCAGCTTTTAGGGATGTCTCTGAAGTTGACGGGTGAGCAAAGTATGCGGCTGTTCTTGTATATAAATACACAGTAGTGCTAGGCAATCGGCGTTTCGGAAGACAACAGAGTACAACAGGTATGAAGCTTTTTTGGGGATTATTTTAAGAAGATTCGTGCACGTCTTCATGTCTTTCAAATGGCATTTACATCGGAGAGTTAAATAGAATGCTACCAGAAACTGATGGAATCCGTTATATGAAAATGTAGTTTATTTTGGGCAGTCCGATAGGGAAACAACACGAACTGGTCAACCAAGCGGTTGCGGTTGTAAAGTCAAGGACGACTGAAGTAATAGTGTTCAGGAAAGAAAACCGCCGGCTGCAGGATACCATAGCACTAAAATGCCTAGCGGATTTAACTGGATGTGGTAAACAATCGTTAGTAGTAGCTGGGGCAATAATAGGTGAAATAAACTCGAGATATTTACCTCACCTTCGTGTGAACTCACTCTCAGCCTGTTGGGTTGGGTTTAGCCGTAGTATGACATCATATCCTTTTTATATAAGTTTGTGCCCGTCGGTGCACAACAGCAATCCTGTTGGGATGTTTAAACATGGTGCACTGCACGTCAATTGTTAATGAGTCTGTAAAATTGTGATTCAAAACAGCTCTTTGAGACAGGCCACTTGGTTATTCGACATCTCTTCACCAATTTAAACGTAAATTATTGATGCAAAAGAGATGAATCCATGGGTCATTAACACCTACCTTCAGAGATCAACATGGGAATTCCGCTTTCAAGACCACTGCTGAATGTCATGAAATATACCCGGAAGCGCTTTCTGTGATCTATGTGGGACATTGGCAGTCGTGTAGTACAGATAAGCTGCAATATCGGCAGCTTTTCTTTGCAACTTGCGAATGACTGTCTTCCTGGAAGCTCCAGAGTTCCTAGTAACAGCCCTCCAATACTTTCAGTCACATTGAAATGAGACGGGATTTCTGCGGATCGCCCGTTGAACAGGCTTCAATTATGGGACCTAACCCGGTTCTTCTCTATACGTCAGGACTCTCGAAAAACACGATTACGTAGGTAGTACAGCGGAAGAGGGAGTCCTGGACACGATAATTCAACACCGAAGGGAACATCGTATCAGACCTACCGTCTTTAAGCTCTCGCTTAGCTTGTAAGAGGTACTGGGATCGGTATCCAGGTACTCCAGGGTTCGGGCTCGATATAGCTCTGTGGTCCGGGCTTACCGATCGGAAGTTCCGTAGTTCGAACCCTACCTCTGCATCTCGACAGCTGTGTCTGGGCTCTGGCAGCCTGACAGTATCTCACCCCTTGTGCTTTCTTCGGGTGGCATAGCAGCTACGCACTGAAAGGGCTTTACAGCTGAACGACTATTTATTATTATTCCTTGAGCAGATCGCCATCAGTTTAAGGGATAGTGCTGTTGGTTGAATTCTCCCCTTTTTGATGGCGTATTTATGTCCAGCGTGATGGCATGATAGCCCTTTGTGATAAAACTGTTAAACTGGAAACTAGTTTTAATGTGAATTTCTGCGTAAAATACGAACAAAAGTGTTCTTTTCTTCTGTAACCTACTTCGGGCTGTGTTTTGCCTCTGCACACGAACGTCACGAGACTCTTCTACCTTTTTTTGAAAATTTCCTTTCCAGCCACTTCGAAAGACTTCCTCGCCGTCTCGTCTGCTTTCCTGGGTGTATGTCGTGCCATTAACTGTGATATATATGACAGTGAGTTCTTCGTGTGCGTATTGTGTGTAAATCTTCCTGTCTTTTTACGGTTACGCTTCTAGAAGTCAATTAGAATGCGTCTTAATAATGTCTGGATCTACTGCGAAAGTCTGTTTTGGTGTAGTGTTTATGTACTTCAGGATCGTGCACTCTAAACGCTGTTCGTATGAAACAGGATTTTTGCCAACATTAGTGTCTTTATCAGCGACTCTATGTGATACCGTTTTTGCCGGACGGTTTTCGCCTCCCTTCTCATCATGTCCCACTTCATTGAAGGAATGACTTTCACCGCACAAGACTTTCAACCAACTGAATTATTTTGGGTCGAGTTCTTTTGGAAGTAAGGTAGGTCTCACTCAACATGCATGGAATGAAATCGGGTCCTGTTTTCAGACGACCTTGTAATGTTCTTGGGAAGTGTCCAGAAACCCAATCACATCGCTCAAGCGTGGAACATTTGCCTGTTCGGACGTGATAGTTCAGTTGCGTCTAGCATCTGGTGATGGATTAGTGGTAACGTGCTCGCCTTGCTTGTCAAGGCCAACGATGTACACTGCTGATGAGCTCTAATAAGAGCAGAACTCGAGTCCAGTTTTTCCCCCTTTGACGTGGACTCACGGGGATAATTGCCTCCGGACAGAAAGAGGACCGTTCCAACGAGAGTGATGTGGAGTGGATTCCTTGGATAGATTTGTTGGAAAAAATGGCTGGTTTCCTACCGCTACTAACCTCTTTTACAAACGTCCTACAATTAGTTCTTGTACGACGAATCAGTGTTTCTCCTGAGCTCAGTATGATGTATGTGTTTCTGTCTGCACCTAATTGCCATGCTATTTTTCCATGGGATCTTTAAGTACAGTGTAACACACTAGCTCTCCTATTAAAAATCGGTTATTACGTCGTTCAGCTGTAGTACTCTTCCGGTGCCTAGCTGCAATACCACCTGAACGAAGCACGAGGGCTGGGATACTGCCAGGTTGCCCAAGCCTAGACAGGAGGAGTCGAGATGCAGAGATCCGGCTCTAACCACTGAACCATCTCACCCCTACACTAGTTGTAAGGTAACTGAAAACTCTTCGACAATTCACGACCGGTTTCGCCCTGCTTAGGGTTCGTCAGGTAGGCGCAGTTTCCCAGTTTCTGAGAACCTTATGTTCTACTTGAACCCAAACTGTCCGAAATTCGAAAACCACACTCATTTTTATACCAATCTTGTTTTCACGAGGAACTCACCTAAATCATCATATTCTTCCTCATGAGTGTATTTGTCGAATCTCCGCATCTAATTTTTAATCCACTATCGCCAGCAATTAGAAGCACCCTTTGAAGTTTTTTCCAAACGGTGCTTTTTACTGGCGATCAAACAGTGCCAGTTTTATGGATGTTCTTTCTTCACTTAGAATGACTGACTTCTACAAAAAGAATCGTTGTTCTCCTTTTGGTTTCTTACTCCGTTTCTCGCCTCTTTTTCTTCTAGAGAACCGTAATATGCCTCTTTTTGCGGCCTTCTCCAACACGGGAGACGCATTTAGATCACTCTCAGTCTACCACGCTGTTCAGGTACGTTGAAGTTTGCTTATATCACGTAAGATGACTTTTCATCAACTTTTAGTCGGTTTATTAAATCGCTAACCAATATGTGGAATTTGACCGACTAACAGCGCAACAACCAAGCGAAGGAGCCTTACACACATCCGCACAGTAATCACTTAATGAACGAACTTGTGTGATGAGCAATGCCTGTTTGACCCGAAGAATATGTAGCTACTAGTATCTTGCCCAATACGACGGAGTGTTTACTCTTGTGGAAAGTGACCTTGTTCGTGAAGCTTATGCTGATACCGGTGCATGGTATCACCGTTTCATCATGCTTCTCTATCTAGTTATCAGGTTCCCGGACACCCTTATCCACTGGTGACTTTTGCTATAGTGCTATCCTTTTCCAGCTCCGAAAGGTGCCTACAACCGCGCCCTAAAGCGACACCGAGATTTCGAATCTAATGTGCATTCCACCTACCTCGGTAGTTCAACAACGATAGCTCTTCGTACCGATTGAGTTTTCGTTTTCAGACGTTTCTGAGTCGTGCTGATCGGTTCATTTAGACTTGTTGCACTCTCCTCACCTTAACTAGTAAGTCTAACGTGAACAGTCAGATCAGAGGCTCCTTAGACATTAGTCATTCTTCATAATATATCATGTTTTGAATTTGCCTCTGGTGGACTGAGTTGGCGTCGATTTTCTAACCACCTGCTAGAGGATTTTTAAAAATAAATAATGGATCCATAAATATCGCTGAAGACACTGTGTAAATCCACTTGAAACGACCTGTGAAAACTGTTCTGCTTCCAGTACGTCCAGGAATAATTAGCAAATTCCTCTATGACGAATGACGCAGTGTTCATCTGGCTATAGCGATAAATGAAACTGTTCACACATTTTTTGTCAACTATGCATCTTTTGGATGAAATTGCTCAAAGCTCACGTTTGGCGATCTTTTTTACGCATGTTCTTGACTATATGTCTCTGATCCAGAGATGTGCTCTGCCCACAGCTGAGTACCTAACTGACTGAAGCCCTCAAACTATTTTGCTAACCCGTGGAAGAGTGTTGTTCGCTAACTTCAGCCCCGTGACGCTGCCGATGTTAGTATTCACCCCGCTCCCGTTAACTGAGTGACTATGGTGCAGACAGTAGACGGCAACCGGATTTTCATCTGGGCCCATCTGATCGAACATCCAACGGCGTTGAACCTTTATATATCACTTTCTGATGCGGTGAGTTTTCGACAAGCTATATGAAGCCGTAGCAGCTGGCACAGAACTTGACATCCAACTCCCACATTAGTACTACCTTCTGCAAATGTATTCTGTATATCCTTGACGCCGCAATCTGGAACGCCACACACACAGCTGCCCGGTAACCGTGTCCACGCATAGCATGCTTTTCAGCAGTGACAAGAATCGCTTTCTTCCTTTGTTAACCTTTGTTTTCGTTTTATGACTGATTGTTCGCTTTTCCGGTACTTTATTTAGTCTGAACCCACTACCCAACTGCTAGAATGTGTACGGGAGCACGCGCGTACCCTGGCCACTCTGCCTGCTGTTGTTAGTCTCGGAAAGTCAGCTTGTGTCGCCGTGGAAGAAGCTCGTCGTCTTCTAGCTGAGGGTAAGCTTAGTCAACACGACGCGGAATCAATCCAATCGGGTGCGGTGGTAATTGTGCGTTCCGTGCAAGCCGAATGCGTATGGATCATGCAACAACTGCGCCAGGACTTTCTTGAACGAGTGAAAGATTATCTGCTAGATCGAGCGGCGTTCTGTCGCCAGTATGCAGACCAGCTGCAATCGGCTGCTTCGTTTTTCTAAAACGATACTTTATTGGCCATTCACGCACGTATATCACTCCATTCTACCTCGGGCATCCCATTGGGTCAGAACCGTTTTTCCATATTTTCGCCGGAATCTCGAATGATCTGATATCGATTTTTCTACTTTCAAACTTCACGATACCCTGTTTATCTACACACGTTCTCACGCACGCTTTCAGGTTTTGTCGGAAAACGTTATGCCTCGCCACATTGTGCAAACGTGAATCTCTGCAGTTTTCTGATTTTGCTCAACATTCGCGTCTTTCAGGTCTGTGCTGTTTTTTACGCTTACAAAAGCTTCTTAGGATCTCGCTAACATGATGTGCAACCCATGCCTATTATTCAGCAAATCTGTATTGATTTTGTATCGACCGGTCCCCACCGATTCTCGCCCATTTTTGATCAGATATTGATATTTTTTCTTCGTCCCACTTTACTTTGCATAAACGCATGTCACGGCCCATGCGTAATTCATTATTGTGGTGGATCTAGCATTTTAGTACACAAAATGGTCAGAAATTGGGGATGAATGCATGCCAAAACACTGATCGTGATGAATTGTTCACCCTCCGGATCAGACACTCAACAAAGGCTCTAAACAGTCCAACTTTCTGGTTGACCCATGCGACTGAAGAACATACTGCATTGGTATACACCCGATAGACAGTGAACACTTCCATTTAGAATAGTTAACCATACTCAAGTACGGAGGTTTACGAGGGAGCAATACAGGTGGTGTTGCAATCAACCGTCATCAAGCCATGAATCGAAGCTGGATGAGACAAGGAATGGGACAAGACGTGAGCAGACAGTTCTGGTCAACTGGTACAGTCTCTCACTTCGTACTATGTTGTCACCATCTGGTGTAAACTGTGTACTTGTTTTACAGCGGTTATGGCTACCACGGTTTCGTTCGCCGATGGTCTTGAAGGACAGGGGTGTCTAGGAATGCATTCGAGGTCGTTAAGGTGTGAATCTAGGAGTGGCGGTTCACTTTTCATAGGGAAACGAAGGGAAGCTGTGTACAAATGGCAACAACTTAGATCAATGCGCGCGACTGGACCATATCTGCCAATGTTCCAAACCATTGATGTGTTCCGTTTCATAGTTCCCAGCCATGATGATGACAATGACTAGCGCGATTGCGTTTTTTGCTTGTAACGCTTTCATGCCTCGCTGCCAGGGCATTATTTGACCTCTGGCTCATTTCCACCTTCCGAGTAGTTATGCGATAAGGACTGTTCGTGGAATTCGATTGGCTAACATACACAGAAAGTGACCAAACCAGTGGAACTGACTTGTTGAATGTGGTTATCTCATCTACCTACTGTTTCCTTTTGATCTTTGATCCCACCGAACACCGGTGATCAAACACAAAGCTTTTCAACATCCCCAGCCCAAATCGCTTCAATGTAGCAATATGGACTGCACCACGGTATCGCAAACTCAACCCTCGGCAGATAAGCGTATGTCACGCCCGCGCTACAGATGACGCAGGTTGATCCTAATCAGTTTTGCAGCAACACTTTGCGCTTTTGGGGGAGAGAGGCTCAAGCGGGCACTGGTTTTCCTGTTGAGCGTTATTGAACTTGATTGAGCTGGATAATTGAGCGATCTAAAGAAAACTATTCACTGGAAACCAGTCGAGCCCGTGGGTTTGAGTATTTGACGTGTCATAGCTTCTGGATCGCCATACATGACGCGTTTTTCTCAATCCCCGGCTGTGTCGGCAAATGATATTTCCAGGTTCTGAAGACAGAGGTCACTTTGCGCCCCGAACAGACTCGAAAGTCTGGCTTATAAGGAGCAGGGAGGGTGTTGCTTGGGGACCATTCCTGTAGCTCCTACTCAAGGCAACGGGTAGTAGTAGGTTTTTGTTGAATGGACCTGCTCGGAGCCCACGATTTAGTGGACTGACCTAGCCTGAGGGTGCAAACACAAGTTTATTCTCTTGTTTCCGGTTTCATTCTTGATGCTGCTGCGCATGATAGGTTCGTTTGGCAAGGAGTCCGCCAAATTTAATCTGTGTCTTACCAGCAGTCTGTATAGCACACAGGGCATTGGTTACTGGCACACCTACATCGTCGAGTCCAAAGGCCTTCATATGCGGTTTGTGATTATTACAGCTCAAGAGTCGGAAAAACGGGTAGTTTGTTCCTGAACGTGTCGGACAGAATAATGATTTCATGGCACACAGCAAGGTAGGATAATAGCTTAATGACTGCGCTGGCCGTGTACCCGTTGCAAGAGCAAACACTTCTATTGCCCAAATAGTATTTTGACGAGGATTTAATCGAAACTACGTGAGATCACATTTTATGTGGAAAAGGCTGTCAGTTTGAGTGCAGCGTTTTCTGAATGCATCGTTCCACTGGCATGTGTGCCCTGTCTTCGTAGTCGTGAATCTTTCAGCAGATTTACAAATCGATTTGTCTAAATATTATATGACCATGCAGTACAACCACTTTCGTTGGATGGAACGATTTGCCCAAGTGCCTCTCATTTTATTTGAGGATTAACGAGCAAAATACTACACTAGAGTAAGGCGAAAGTCATTTAGCCCGCTTGATCACCAATACAGCAAGCACTTTCAAGGATCTTGAAAGTGTTCCATTCATATGTTACAGAATTATCGAAACGGACTGTTTGAGGATGAGAAAATCCGTTGCCCCTTGTAGGTTGCAGGTTCTTGTGTATTTCTTTGGTAACATTCGATGGTTTACAACAGCTACCATTGTCATTGGCGCGCCCAGCTTCGTGTCGCCACACTGTCATGTCATCCTCAAGAAGGACTGTCAGAATGGCAGAACATCATTAGGAGTAAATCTGCACATTGAACTCACGCTGGCAGACTTATCTTCGGTCTAGTTACCAGACTGAGAATAGTTGCTTTTGGTCAACAGCACCCTTCCCAACAGCCCCATTTTCAATTAATTTTTTTCTGATATGGCTGCATGGCTATGAGTAGCACTCACAGGTGTTAAGCTATTACTCGAAAATTCCAAAATTTAGTTGAACGGCCATAGTTGAGCACTTCAGATCGTCAGCAACTCAACCCAGTTACATCCAAACAGTGTTTGATTTGTTGTGTGTTTGAACAACCGCCCTTTTTTATTGCCTCGTCGATGCTAATGGATCACCGTAGGTCGGAATTTCCGAACTCTTCAATCGTTCACCGGTCTACCATTCTATCTGGCTTTGGGGATTGAATGGAATTAAAGCCCAATAAAAGTTTACCGTCGCGACTATGTCGCTCAATATATTCTCGAGTAAAGTGACATCAGGTTAAGCACTTGTGTGGACGAAATGAAGGGCACAGATAAGAAAACCGTTCAGATGTAGCACCCTTTCAGCGCCTAACTGTCATGCCACCAGAAGGAAGCAAGAGGGATGGGATACTGCTAGGTTGCCCAAGCCTAGACAGGGAAAGTCGAGAGGCAGAGGTCGGGTTCGAACCACATACCTTCCAGCAAGTCAATTCACACTAACCTCTGAGCCATCTCGCCCCCGAAGGGTACAGATAAATCATGCTACAATGCTTCACAAGAGGCTTTACCGGTGAATACGCACTACTCCACTGACTTTAACAATGACCCCAAGGTGTACGTATTCGTCTGTTTTGCTTTGTGGAATTCATCGTCTTTTTTAGCCCGTTTATCTTGGTGAGGCTCATCTGCAGTGCTGAACGTAAAGCCTCCAAAACACACCCTGATGTGTAAGACTACTCATATGACTACTGAAAACCTTTGGGCACCACATTACCAGTTTCGCCTTCCTTGATGTTCATCAAGTAGGCGCAACTCCCGGGTCGCCATCAATCACGAATTCTACTTTAACATATGACTGTACGTAACTGGTAAAGTACACTCATTCGCTAGTGACCTTTGTGCTAACGGGACGCGCAGTTGAGTCCCTTGTTCACTATGTTCTTCAGCTGGCAGTCGGTTGTCCAGGAGTTTACAGAAACCAAATAACTGGTGTGTTAGGCCAATAAAAGATAGTGCCTCGTTTCGAATGCCAAATGAAACATGAGGAGGCCTTGTGTACCACATTCCATCCAAGAATATCATAAACAGGCAATTCAGTTGACTCTCCCATTGACGCCAAGTCAGCTTTTTAAAAAGTTTAGTGTGCCAAATGCTCTCGTCTTTTTCAACGCCTTCACTCGTCTGAGTCAACTGTGACCAAGTGGTTTCTATCGTTTCTCTTATTTTGGTTGAAATTCAGTGTCTGGAGCGCCTGTAAAAGTCGTTGGTGTCTAGCTGCCGTGCCACCCGAAGGAGACAGGAGGGCTGAGATACTGCTAGGCAGAGGTGGGGTTCGTACCACGAACCTTCCGGTCCGTAAATTCGCGCTCTTACCACTGAGCCATATCGCCCTCTGGACCGGCTAGAACACTCGTAATTTCTCGCCCGATCAAAAGCCACATACCCCTTGCACTTACCCGGCTGCTTTGTGTACAGCGGTTTAACTGAATGAGTGCGCTGTTGGCAATTTGGGATTCATTAGTGAAGCGTGACTTAACGAAAACAAGTGTAGTGATTCGGACGATGGTTGACTGGCTTCGTGGAATGAACGTCTTAGAAGAGCTGTAATGGGAAATTTGTCCGCAGAGGTCCAAACAACGGACAGTGAGGGTGCGGCCATACTGCGTGGTGATTTCACCTGAAGAGGATATTAACCTGAGCTCTCACAGTTATTATTGTATCAACGCAATGTGGTAATTCAAGATCCCCCGAACGACAGAACTTTCCGAGACGTTGTGCCTACAGTGCCAGGTCTTCCGTAACATAGCGTTCAAAATCGATTCTGAAGCCGCATACCAGAATTTATGAGTGTATTTAACCAGCTCGAGTACAATCGGCTAGCCATGGCTGCGATTCGCGCAAATATTGTCGCCAGTACCCTTCCTTTCGGAAATAGACACCACTGAATACTGTTGTGTCTAGACCCTCATCAGTCCCGCCCTTCAACGGTCCTCAGCTGAACCCCGATTCTGAGTCCTTTTAGCCTTCAAATTTCGCATTGTTTTACAGAGCCGCATGGACTTCTCGGATATATTAACCCAAGTAAATACTTTCTATCAGTGGTCGCACTTATCAAATAGGCAGCGCCTTTGTAGCATGCTGTCCGAGAACCTTACTACTATCAACTGTCATAAAACTAGTTAGTAAGATGTGGTAAACCTTTGAAATCAAACACTCCCTTGCATATGGAGCACAGAGAAATTTCTAGAACGCCAGGTCTGTGGGCAAGCTGGAGTTGTTATACTGCAAGTGCCATAATCCGGAACACGCTGCGCTATCCTTCACCCTGCTTTGCCACGTAAGTCTGACCTCTGTACGACCTGCGCGTTGCCTGGGCATCGGTGAATCCACTATGCGCTCCACGCGTTACCTCTTTCCCGTGTTATATGTTACTCGTAGTCTTTCGGTAACAAATGCCGTTGACTTTACAGCTGACATCTCTTCTTCGCCTCCTT